TTCTTTCTTTCTTTCTTTCTATCCTACTTTCCTTTTTCCTTTCTTTCTTTCTTTCTTTCTTTCTTTCTTTCTTTCTTTCTTTCTTTATATCCTACTTTCCTTTTTCCTTTCTTTCTTTCTTTCTTTCTTTCTTTCTTTCTTTCTTTCTTTCTTTCCCACTTACCTTCTTCCTTCCTTTCCTTCTTCATATCCTACTTTCCTTTTTCCTTTCTTTCTTTCCTCCTCCATATCACACTATTCTTTTTCTTCTCTTTTTCCTTCTTCATATTCTACTTTCCTTCTTCCTTTTTTTCCTTTTTCATATCCTACTTTCCTTCTTTCTTTCCGTCTTCATACCTTACTTTCCTTTTCCCTTTCTTTCTTTCTTTCTTTCTTTCTTTCTTTCTTTTGAAATATTTTAAATACGCTGGAAAAAGAGCAAAAACAAATGAAAATCTCTTGTGTGATCAGAAAAAGAGAAAGTGAGATATTTTCGCTAAAATTTGAAAATACATAAGATTCATCAGTTAAATCAATGACAGAACAATAAAAATTAAAGTATTTATATTTTTGGATTTACAATAAAGAGATGAATTCGAATTGCTGCAGAAAGAAAATTTCAAAATTTCAAAAGCAAAACTCAATGTGAGAAAATCAGAGACAAATAATGCAGAAGGAGAAATTAAAATCTTCTTCAAACTGTTGAATAATCAGCGCTTAATTTATCAGGATTTCGTCAATGAAACATTGTCATTGTTATTAAGTTTTATTAATGTTTTCTCACAGTAGAAAAACACGTAAACCTATACGAACTTATTAGATAAACCATCATTCTTTACGTTCTATAAGTTTTTCTTTCACCAATTTTTTTTGCCCGTATATACCTAGTGATAGTACTAGACATAATTTTATCCTCATCTTGTCCACATTTCTAAGAGAAAACACTAAAGACTTGGATAGTATAAACAAGGGATCGAAATGATTTTTGTTCAGCCTACCAAATTAACCGTAGGAAGGAATTTGAATTTTCTGTTGATTGAGCTATATCTAATCCTGTTATTACTGTAGTAAAGGCACATTGTTTAAATACTATAACATTAAATTCGTTTGTTTTTCTTTAATCCTCCAGACCAAGGCGACCTTCTGGACGGAAAGATCTGAGATCGAGAAAATTTATTATAGTACATTTAATATCATGGCCCTCATCCAAGACACTGCATAGCTCTCTGGACCATTCTCTTCAAAAGGTTGCCGACCCCCGATTTGAACTATAAGCATACAGCTCGACATTTCAGGTCGTTTTTCACCGACAGCTCGACTTATGAACCCCGCTGTTGTTCGATTCTCGTTTGTGTGAACGGAAACTGAGAAAAGCCCGTTGTACATTGAAGAGGAAAATTAAATATAGCCACGGTGAGAAAAGAAATCCTGCTTTCTAATAAGCCGGGTACATTATTCATGGATTCACCTAGCACTTTTTTTTTTCTTCACTGCTACTTATCTTCTCTCACGACAGATTAACCGGCCTGCTCTTTCCTTTGGCCATCGAGAACTCCGATTGAATGTAAGTGTCAGTCTCACTGCCACTATCTTCATTTCGGTTTTCAGATAGAAGTCTCTAGAATATATGACTATATAAGCGCGTGAACGGAACTCTTTACATTTCGACTAAGTGATACTTGATCCCGAACGTTTTTTATTTAATTATTTTTCCTAATTCAGGGTAGCTTAAAGTTGTTTGAAAATGTTTGATATTACTGGCGTTGCAGTCAGTAATCATAAAACACCGATGGCTTCAGGCCCAGATACAAATATGTAGAGTCCACTTGACTATCTGGTTGCCGTAAGCCAAACGAGCGACTAAATGTTGTGTCACAAACTTCGTTGTAGAAATATACGTAAAAATGAAGCAGTACCATTGTTTTTCTTCTGTTTGTTTTTTTTACGGCAACATAAGTTTTTTTTATATTAAGTGGACTAAGTTATAAAATGCAGTTGAAATAAAATGATTGATTGATTTGTTTAACGACAAACTAACACTTCATGGGTCATTTAATGCCGAAATTTAATTTTCTTGGAAGCTTTGAAATTATAAAAATATGATATATGTTAATAATATTAATATAGTTAATGTTCACAATTGAATACATGGTAGATTATACTCAGATTTCTCTGCATATCCATGCTTTTTTGTTATGAAGAATTAAGAGTGGTCTCTTGTTGTCTTGTTATTCCACTCTTTGAGAGAACTATTTCTGTTTACTGGGACTATAAAAGGACACTATACGCGAAACTTATATTCTCAGTTGAATAAAGCTTTCTTAAAGACTACACCTGTGTACTTTTGTCATTACATTTGTATGAACATAATTACTAGAGAAGGTAATATGTGTGTTTTATGTTAAAGTTTTTTTTTAAGTTATATTTTTAATATATTTTGATTTCTTTAAGATATTCTAGGCTTATGGATTAATGTAGCGAAAGAGTTCTTTTATGTTGGTTGTTTGATTTTGCTTAGCGACTTAGCAACACATCTATGGGTTATTTAATTCCGAAATCTAAATAATTTTAAAACAATTTTATGGCTTCAACTACAGATGAAATGTATTGTTGGTCATTTTGCTATAAAATTTATCGTTGGTAGTTTTGCTTTAAAAATGTATTATTGGTAATCTTACTATAATTATGTATCGTTAGTAATTTTTTTATATAAAAATATATTGCTGCTATTAAGTGAACCAGCTCATTTAACTATCAAATAATTCCTAAAAATTAAATACTTTCAAAAGTCTAATATTTTATTGATTTTAGGTACTTTTTAACGACGATATGTCCAAAGTCTGCATTGTTTCAGTTCTCCAAATTGAATCTAAAAAGAAAAAAAAATAATAATACAGTATGTCTTTCACTGAAAGAGAAGAAAATTAATATATTTGAAAAAAAAATGAGAAGAAAATATTTAGTGAAATATGTCGAAAAAAAGAAAATTAAAGATTTTGAAAAAGCGACGATGATGGTCGGTCAGTCAAAGAATTTGATACAAAATCAACGCAATTTGTGAGGTACATGTGACATTATTTCAGAATTGTGCTTCAGCAGTTTTGTCGGAGACGATTTTAATACATTTTTTGGCATATGAAAAAATTATTATAAAAATAGAAACACTTCGCAGATTGTAATAACCTTTCAAATTTATGATCTGTAAAAATAGATCTTTTAATAAGAGCATTTCCATAGATACTCATATTCAAACTTAATTTTAAAATATTTGACAATTTTATCACATTTTGGATTTAAAATTGAAAAAAAGAAAACAATTCCTGTAAAAATTCATTTTTCATCGAAAAGATATTTTTGCTTCAGACAAAAAAGTCCTTAACATATATTATACATAAAAGCCATTAAAAGCTTTTTAATTAAATATTGTCTTAGTTTTATTGCGTTCTGTATTTTACAATTCAGTTTCATCTAAAATTTGGATCGGAACTCTCCTAGATTTGCAAAAATATAGATGATTTATATTCTTTAAAGACTTCTGCATTTAATTAAAAAATACAGACATATTCATATTCGACTTTGTCAAGTTTAAGTAAGGGGTGTAATAGATGTAAAAAAAATAAGTTTTTTTACCACGACTTTCTAAAAACAACCATTTCTAAAATAATTTCATTCATTTTTTAAAAAGTTGTGAAAGTTCAGTTAAAATCCGACAATTATTTAATTTTTGCAAGAATTTCCAAATTAATGTGTTTTTCAAGTGAAAAAGCTCTAAAAAAACTAACGCTAAATATTACGTGACCGCTGATGTAAGATTTTCTGATTTTCAACCAAAATCCAAACATGCTAGAAAGGAAAAAAAAAACATTAATAAATTAAAAATACTTTGGTGTTTCCTCTTATTAAAAACAAACTTTTTGACGATAAAACTTTGTTTTAATTAGGTTTGGGGCCTTTTTTTCATCATGCTATGCTGTTTTTTCTTTTTGCTGAATTATTGTACATACCTAAATTTAATATTCCTAATAAGAAAAAAAAAAAACAAAAAAAAAAAAAAAACAGAATTTAAATAGATTGTTATTTGTTTCTCCTTCTCAATAAAAATCTATAAAATCGTCCATATTGAAAAATCTGTCTACACAACCTAATTCTCTTTATTAAAAAAAAACGTCTTTCACAAATAAGACAGATTTCTGAAACTATGAGGAAGATTAGCTGATTCATATTTTAATTAATCGGAATTGAAACAAATATTAATTACTTTTATTATAGCATCACAGAAAAACATTTTTAACACGGAGGTTGGGGTTTTATAACGTATATATATATATATATATATATATATATATATATATATATATATATATATATATATATATATATATATATATATATATATATATATATATATATATATATATATATATATATTACTATTTAGTGATATTAAAATTTTAATTATTTTAAGCTTTCTAATATTTTATTAAATTGTAGGTTTTACATTATTTACATTATTCGGACTATTGTCCTCATCTTTGTCGCCATTTCGCTCAGTGGGGTAGACTGTTCTAGCTCCACGTGCCATGTTTTAATGGATGTCAGTTATCAGTTATCACCTGTTAATTTTCCCTCTGAAAGTTCTCCACTGCCTTAACCGGGTATTGAACTCACACTCTTTGGATTCTGTCACCGGATCTAACCAACGCCTTCATCCACTGTGCCATGTGTCCTTGAGGACACATGGCACAGTGAAATAACCGCGAAATAAAGGATTCAGTTCGACATTCCAACCACCTGAAGAAGGCTGGAGCGTACAACGGCTGAAACGTTGTAATAAATATGGCGACAAAGATGAGGACAATTGTCCGAATAATGTAAATAATATACATAATAACTCATCTCAGAAATATAGACAGATATTGTAGGTTTTACTTACGAAAACACTTGTTGAGGAAATGTTCGAAAATTATAAATAAGTTTTAAATTTACTATAGTTACGGGTTTTATTTTCTGATAGTGCCATGTTTGGATGTGTCTATTTACAAAAATTGGCAGGTTTATACACACATAAATAAATTCAATTATTTTAAATACTGGATATAATTTAATTTTCTAGTGAGCTTTTCTATTTATGATTAGCAAATTGTTTTAATTTAACAGCAATAACATGACTGCTACAAATTAATACAGAATTTTAAGAGATTTAAAAGTTTATAAATTACTATAATTAAAATTTTAAAAAAATGAAACACTTCTTGGAATTCATTTTCGAATATTTTTACCTTAAAACAGTAGTCATCGTAATATATTTTATTCAGAAAATCGGTTAAAAGCTTTTGAAATTAAATAATGTTTTAGTTTTATTATGATTCAGAACAGATTTTCTATAACTAGGAATCTCGTTTGACCAAAGAA